TATGTTGATCTTTAATCATGTTAGAACACTGCATATTTCCCTTCAATTATACACGTCAACCAAAATGCACTTTTTGCCATTTATCTGAGGTAAGTTTGTAACAGAGAAAATTAGCACATTATCCAGAATTATGCAAACCCATTATATGGTATTAATTGAAGCCTCAAAAGTAAAACAAGAACAGCAGTATATCAGTATATCAACAGCTAAATTATCCAAATTCAAAAGCTTTAATTAGCTTCCATGTTTCTCTTGTATCCAAACATATAGATCCTTGTCTCAAGGCAGGAGTATCTAAAAAAAAAACATTAGGCTATATCAATTATGGAATAAAGTACATGGATTTTAGTTACCTTTAAGACAAGCTCGTCATAGCATTGTTCTACATTCACTCAAGTTTTTGCATTGTACTCTATAAAGAGGCATCCATATTACTGACCCCACCCTTCCTTTTGGAAATCCGTTTCACTTTCCTGTGAAAGATCACTGATGATTAAATCCCATGCATAAAATAACACTCAAGAATTATTATCCATAACATCAAATAGGTCTATGAGAAAGTTTCAGATGAACGTGAAATTAAATTGCTAACTGGAGCAAAATGAGACTCAGATACAAACATTGGTCAATCAAACTAAAGGGAAAAAATTCACTACTACTTGAATCATATACATTATCAACTTTGTTTCTAACAAGCATCTTAATAGATTTGCAATTGTTTCCCACTGTGCAACATCATATAATATCCCAATACCACAAATTAAAAATACTGCATCAGAATAAATTAATAGCCTCTAAGCACAATTAGCAAGTCCTCATATTTCTCCCCCCTCCCCCCCCCACCAAAAAAAGAAAAAGAAAAAGAAATGCATTGATATAATAAAAACAACAAGAGAGTATTCAAATGTAACCAACTAAGAAGTCACCTTCAGAAATCGAGTCAATCTGTCCATGGCCAGCTTTAAGGGCACACATGGAGACCATTGAATTCGAAACAAGGTGTCAAATAAGAGGCAGGGAAGCAAGGACTGAAAATGAATGGAAAAACCAAAACAATTAAGAAAAAGGACAAAGAAAGTTCTCAAGCTCTTACATCTTATACTGCATCAATACCACAAATAAAATATTGCATCAGCAAAACAATCTTTAAGCACAGTTAGCAAGTACCTAGCAAGAGTACTGAAACTACTGAAACCTGGTCAATCATTTCATCGCCAAAGCAGACACCTTTAAGAGCAAATATGGAGACCACTGAAGTAAGGAATCAAATATGAGGTAGGGCAGCGAGGGCTAGAAATGAACTACAAAACTGTAACAAACTAACAATTAAGGAGAACTTAAAAGGGAGAAAGAAAGCTCTAAAATTTCCCACTGTAGTTGTCTCAATACACATGCAACTGTCGCAACATGATTTTTGCTAAATCCCCCAAGGTAAACAGAAGATAGCACACAACAGGTAATGCATGATTCATAGTTACACTATCAAATTTTTAAATAAGTGAACCTAATGTTGATGGAAAAAAAAAAAAGGCAAATACAGTTTAATGTTGAAGATGCACAAATAAAAAAAAAACCAAAAAAAAAAAAAGTCAAAAAGAGAAGAGGAGTGTACTCTGACCTGAATGCTAGTCCTTCTTGGGCAATTCTGAGGAGATAAATAACAGAGTGTGCCACTATTGTTGATGAAAGTAAGTCTTGGTTGTTGTTGATTATGATAATGTTGTTGAATGAAATTTGAGAAGAGACATGCAAATGCAATAAACTGAAATACATATTACAAGAAAAGCAAATACAGTTTCAAGTCTTTTTCCCACATGGTTTCAAAGACAACATTACACAGATAATAAAGAAACAAACATTTCTAGTTTTTCACTTACAATTTGACATATTTAAACACATAGTACAGACACAAAAAAAGAAAAATGAAGAATAGCAAGTTTATATTAAATTGAAAACACAACAGCAACAACAACAACAACAAATGCAAATGTGATTTCCTTCGACTTTCTTGTGGTTACACAGCTGAATTCCAATTTTGCTGCCAATGAGAGAGAGATTTATTAAGTAGAAAGAATGGAAAAAGGAAGCATAAAGATGAAAACTCTTATTGAGTTAATTAGATAGGGAAAATTGAAGATTAAAAGGCTTACATTTGTAGTGCCTCCTACCCTACCACTAATCAATTTGCCTAGGATCACCAATAAATCTGCCGAAATTCACAGAAGGGTCAAAGGTTGTCTTTTGCATTGGGATGGTCCCATGCCAATGATTCCCACCATTCTTTTGGGTATACCCTAATTTTTTTGAGGGAAGGAGGATGAGATGATTGGGCATTATCAAGCAAGTGAAAATTCAGAGGAATCCTTTTTAGCTTCTCACACTTGTAAATTATCAGACTCTGGATGGAATCACAAATCAACACACTAGAGCTGCTGCAGATGCTCTTCAATTGCGGCAATTCAATCAATTTCAAGCTTTGTAACTGGGGTAGAGTGACTTTTTTTTCTTCATGTGCTGATGATGATATCAGCTCCTCCATTTTCGGACAATTTTCAACCTTAATAGTCTCTAGAGACTGGAAGTAGCGGAGCAGCCATCCAGATGAGAATACCTTCTTTAATTGATGACAATCAAGAACCTCAATTTCTTTAAGAGGGAAAAAGCTTGTGGGAGGTACAAGTGGTGATAAACCAAGACTTTCTTCATCAAACACACATTTCAAACTCTGTAATTCAAAGAGGCATAGATATTCCAGATTTGGAAGTGGGTTAAACCCTGACCAAAAAGCACTCTCTATATTTTTGCAATTGAAAATTTTAATTTTCTTGATGGAATCACAAATCAAAGAACCACTATAGATGCTCTTCAATTGGGGCAAAGAGCCCAATCTCAAGCTTTCTAAGTTGGGTAGAGTGACTTTTTCTCCTTCTTCAGATTCAGACCCTATTATCTCCTCCAATTGCCAACAATAAGTAACCTCAATAGTTTGTAGTTTCTGGAGATATCCCAACCACCTAACTGAGAATAACATCTTTATTTTATCACATTCAATAACACTAATATATTGAAGAGAGGAAAATGTGCCAGCTGGTAGCGGTGCCGACTCAACAATTGCTCCTACTTCCCCAAACACCATATTCAAGTTATCCAAATAACCAAGTTCCAACTTCTCAAGGTTTTGAAGCTTCCCCCAAATTCCAATCGTCTCCCATTTATATTTTGTTTCGGCATCGGGATAAGCATTTACTAGTAAATGCTGAAGTTTGGAGAGATTTTGTAGCTGTTCATCAAGTGTTTCAGATAATCTTCCACCAAGACTAAGATATTTTAGATTTGTTAACATATTGAGGCCTTGGGGTAGTTCTTCAATTGATGTCCAGGAAAGGTCCAACTTTTTTAAGCCTACAAGGTTGGATAAAGACGGTACCTCTTCTAAGAAGCCACAATTCCCCAGCAATAATGTAGTAAGCTTCTCTAATTTGGAAACAGAACTCGGCAGCCTACTTAGCTCAAGATTGTGGGAAATATCAAGAATCTTGAGCCCAAGCATATGCTCAAAAAGAGCTTCTGGAATGGTTGAAATATTGTTATTGGATAATAGCAAGGTTGTGAGCATAGGACACTTTAGAGAAGGCATGCTTGATGGAATTTCTTTTATGTGATTCCTCATTAAAGAAACCTTTAAACAATCTCTCCATTCATCCTCTTCTGGTAGCTTTTCCAAGGCAATGCCAGCTTTCACAAAAAATTGACTGACTTCCAGTGCCATTTCTCGGAGAAGATCATGCATACTCACACATTCTTGTTTGTCTATATTTTTAACCGATTGCAACAAGCAGTTGTCAACTAGCTTATCGAGTATATCATGACCTTTCCAATTCATTGCCTCCCTAGTTTTCCCTTCTTTATATA